AAAGGGGGTCGGGGTGGGGCCGGGGCGGGGGCACCAGAGCCGCGGGTGGGGCCGCGCGTCCGGCACAGGACCGCGTCTGGCGCTTGAAACCCACGGACTTCCTGTGCGTCGGCGTCCGTCTCCTTCTGTCCGTCTGGTTCCTGGGGTCAGTTCTGCTGGAGGAGAGCGCGGCCGGGAGTGGGGCATGGCCGGGATGGGGGCCGGACCCGGGCGCGCCCACGTCTGCACACGGGAGCACGTGCATGGGACGTGTGCGTCCGCGGGCCGCAGTGGGGGGCACGGGATACGGGTCTAGGGGAGGCCCTGGCCCAGCAATAAGGCCCCCAAGCCCTGCTGTGGCAGGTGCGGCCACCCTGCCCAGGGTATCCCTGGTCGGGAGCCTCACTGTGACCCCCGCCCCTGCTGGTCAGTAAATTCTCCAGAAAGCTCCAGCCTCTTTGCCTTTTCTTTCATTTCTGACTCCGTGACCCCTCCAAGACCCACCCCCTACACCAGCCAAGAGATAAGAAGCTGGGAAGTAACTGTCAAAGGTTTTATTAGATTCTGGATAAAAAGACCCTGACTCCAGAGCGAGCTGCAGCTTCTGCGAGCTGGGCAGTCCCCCAGCACTGGACGTCCGTGGCAGCGGGTCTCAGGCCTCAAGAATGGCTCCCAGCAGGTGCTGTGGCCTGTTCTCAGCCCCTGGGTTCACTGGCCCACAGACATGAGGGGCACCTCCTTTCCCAGGACAGTGGTAGGCGGGCATTTCTATCGGACTTCACAGGGGCCAGTTCTGCTCACTGCATGCAGTTCTGGTCCCAAGTGGGACTGGGCAGGGCCAGGCCCCCACTTGGCCGGATCGCTATTGCTGGTCAATCGCAGCACCCAGTGCCTGCCTGGGGATATGAGCTGTTAGCCTGGGCGTGGGGGGCAGTGCCCTCTTCCCACCTGGGCCTGGCTTGCAGACATCTCCCAACAGTGTCCTGGGGCTGGCCCCAACCTGTCCCTCCCTCTCCAGCACCACAGCCTGGGCAGCAGACTGGGGAACCAACCCCACCACAAAGATGCACAGCACAGCTGGTCCTGAGCAGAGGCCTCTAGTGCTGCCCTGGCCCTGACTGGAGAAAGATTAAAAATGCTGGGAGGTGGGCAGCTGTGCGGTGCCCCCATGTCCACTGGGAGACAGGGCACCTGGGTGTTTCCTCTTGGCAATATCACCTGGCCAGTGTGCCCCAGGTGTCCAGGCCCAGCTCACTTGGATGGTACACTTGGGAGCGGGGGCTGGACCCCCTCAGCCCTCAGCCACTGCATCTTCTGCTTGTGCTGCTGGATGGCATCCTGGACCCGGGCATCCATCATGGCCTCAGTGAGGACCCCATCCTCAGAGGCATACGCCATGGCCTGGCAGGAAAAGGAGAGCACTGAGGCAGGGCGCGGGGCGGGGAGGGGGGCTGCCCGCAGCGGGGCCAGGCCTCAGCCACTGGTTCCAGGAACCACCCGCCCTGTAGGCCAGGGCCAGCTCCAGGAAAGGCAGCCTGGACGGCCCCACTGTCACTGCAACCTGCCCCCCACCCCACCTTGGAGATGTGGGGCAGGGGAAGGTTGGGGCCAAGCCTGGGATGCCCCCCGGGCCAGCGCTCAGCCAAAGGGGCCTGGCCTCTCAGAACGTGCAGGCCAACGTACCAACAGCACAGGCCTGGCATCCCCGTGCGTGCAGGATGCCCTCACACGTGTGCTTACAAGTCAACCTGCAGCCAAGAGCGGCCACCCTCCCTGCAATGCCCGCGCCCCCAGCTGGCACCAGTGCTGCCTGCTCCACCGAGTTTCTCAATGACTTTCTAAAAATAGAAAGCTGGAGACCCGCTGTCAGGAAGCAGCCCAGCCCCCCAACTTAAGACCTGGAGAGCCCTGCTCTGGGGTGGGGGCGCAGACAGCAGCACTACCATGGGCCAGTCAGCGAAGGAAGGGCAGGACCCCCAGCAATCTCGATGGTGTCAGGGGCCCCAACAGGCCAAGCTGACCCCAAATGCTGAGCACCTGTAGTCCACCAGGACCTGCCCCTCACCAGCCCTACCATCTGCAAACAGTCTTCCCAGAACTGTGGGCTCCTGACCGCCCACTGCTCAACATGCCCAGTGCCCGGGGCTCCCAGCTGTGGCGTGTGGGTGGGGGAACCACAGTTCTGCTGACTAGGCCCTGGTGTGGGCCACAGCACTTCAGCTGCTGGCAGGTCACCTCTGGCCAGGCTGCACTCCTCCCAGATGGCCCCATGCCCCACCTGCTGCCTGTCACCCAGCCTGGGGCTCTGACATGTGCCTGCGAAGCAGGGGCCCAAGCCAGTCCTGTCTCTCTCCAGCTACCTGAGTGGCCTCTGCCCACATGGGGCACTGTGCACAAGTCCCCATCATCTGCAATGACCAGTCACTCTGCTCACCCAGGCTGGTTCACCCTGGGGACACAGCTGTCCTCGGCACCCTGCTGAGGCCAAGGATAAAGAAGGCCTCTCAGAACACAAAGGCCAATGTGCATGTTCCCGAGGAGCATCCTCCCTCGAGGAGCATCCTCCCCCGAGGAGCATCCCCCTCGAGGAGCATCCCCCCTCGAGCTGGCTGCTGTCCCTGCAAAGCTCTGCAAAGCAGCAGAGGTGGCAGGGTGGGTGGGGACCCCGAGGGCCCTGTGGGCAGGGTCTGGAGGCAGAGGTGGGGGAGGGCATGCAGCTGCCCTTGTGGAACCCCAGAGCATCTGAGCAGATGTGTCTGCCCAAGAGGGGCTGGACCTCGGGACGCACTTCCGAATAAACGAGGAAAGGGGGAAAACTGACTTCCATGGAGAGGCCTGGTGAAGCAGCCAGGGCCAACAGCCCTGTGATGTCGAGTGGGCGTCAGGTGCCCCCGATGCGGTGACCAGAAGGACACCTCACCTCTGGGGTCTCCTCTCAAAACCCACATCCCAGTCTAGTCATGAGAAAGGTATTAGACAAACCCAGCGAGGGACCTTCTAAAGCACCCTCACTACTGCTGCGGCCATTGAGAACAAGGGGCGTCGGGGACCCGTCCTTCCCAGCAGGCCAGAGACGTGACTGAATGTCGTGGGGCAGTGCAAGGGGGACTCTGGGTGACACCAGGTCCTAGGGGAGTCAAGGGCTGTGGTGTCACCACAGTGTGGAAGAGGCTCTATGCCAGCCTTGCAACTTCTCTGTGAACCTGAAATTATTCAACAGGTTAAAAGTTCACTTAAAAAAAAGGCAAGTCCTGGACTTGATGGTCACAGGTGAATTCTGCCAAATGCTTAAAGGAGAACTAATACCCATCCCTCCAGAACTCTTCCAAACACTGAAGAGGAAGGAACGCTTCCTAACTCGTTCTGAGGCCAGCATCACCCTGACACGAAAACCAGACAAGACACCGCATGTGAACTACAGACCCAGGCCCTCTGTGAACACTGATGTAAAACCCTCAACAGAACACGAGCAAACCAAATTCAGCAGCGTACTGAAAGGATTATACACCACAACCAAGTGGGATTTATTCCTGGGACGGCAGGATGGTTCACCTAGGGAAATCCACGTTAACAGGACGGAGGGCAGAAACCACAGATCCTCTCAACTGATGCCAAAAACACATTCGGCAAAATCCAACACCCTTTCTTCATGAAAACACTGGATAAACTAGGAATGGAAGGAAATTTCCTCAACCTGATAAAGACCATATAAGAAAAACCCACGGCAAAACATTGCAGTGGTGAGAGACTGAAAGCTTTTCCTCTAAGATCAGGAACAAGGCAAGGATGCCTGCTTTCACGACTTTTAGTCAGAACAGCACTAGAAGCTGTACACACAGCCATCAGGCAAGAACAAGGAATTAAAAACATCCAAATTAGAAAGAAAGGGGTAAAATTATCTGTTTGCAGATGACATGATCTTAAATGTAGTAAATCCTAAAGACTTCCTCCCCAAAAACTGTTAAAAGTAATAAATTCAGCAAAGTTGCTGGACAGAAAATTGACACTCAAAAACCCTTTGATTCTCTATATAGCAATGATGCACAATCTGGAAAGGAAATTCCATTTACAACAGCATCACAAAGAATCAAATACTCAGAAGTGAACTTCCCCAAGGAGGTGAGAGCCCTGCACAGTGAAAACTAGTGTTTTCAGAAAATGTCAGTGAAATTAAAGACACTGAAAACACAGAAGGGCATCTGTTCAGGCATTAGAAGACAGTATTGTTGTGACGTCAGTACTGCCCAAAGCAGTCTATAGATTCAGTGCAATTCCTATCAAAATTTCAGTGTTTTTGCTGTGCACCGAAATTGACACACTGTAAAGTGACTATACTTCAATTAAAAAAAAAGGTTTTTTCCAATGTTTTCTGCAGATAAAAAAGAAAAAAATCCACTCTAAAATTCACATGCAATCTCAAGGGACCTCAAACAGCCAAAACGGTCTTGAATAAGAACATGTTGGAGGATTCACACTCCCTGATATTATTTTATCTTTTTAATTTATTTTTTACTTATTTCTTTTGGGGGAAGTAATCAGGTTTGTAGATTTTTTTTATTTGTTTTTTTTAATGATGTACTGGGGATTGAACCCAGGACTTCGTGCATGCTAAGCATGCACTCTACCACTGAGAGCTATACCCTCCCCCCACACTCTCTGAGTTTAAAAGCGGCAGTGATCAAAACAGTGTGGTGGCGGCATTAAGACAGACAGATCAACAGAATAGAATAGAAAGCTCAGAAATAAACCCTCACATGTGTGGTCCATTGATTTCCAACAAGGGTGCCAAGACCATTCAGGGGGTGAAAGGAGTCTTTTCAACAAATGGTGCTGGGAAAACGGGATATCCACACACAGAAGAACCAAGCTGCACTCCTACCTTACTTTACACACAAAAATTAACTCAATGATCAGAGACCTAAACGTAGGGCCCCAAACTACAAAACTAGTAGGAAAAAACATGGGGGAGAAGCTCCCAGACACTGAATTTAACAGTAATCTCCTGGCTATGTCACTAAAAGCACAGATGACAAAAGGAAAAATAAACTGGACTTCATCAAAATTAAAAATTTTCGTGCTTCAAAGGACACTATCTGCAGAGTTGAAAGGCAACCACACGATGGGAGAACGTATTTGTAAATTACGTGTCTGAAAAAAGGTTAACATCCAGAATATATAAACAATCCCTACAATTCAAAAAACCGTAAACAACCCAATTCAAAAGGGACCAAGGACTTGACAGACCCTCCCCGAAGACGACACG